CAGGACGCCAAACGAGGCATTTCCGGTACTAAAGTTGTACTACAACCAAGCACAATCCAGCCAGGACGCCAAACGAGGCATTTCCAGTACTAAGATTGTACTACAACTACAACTAAGCACAATCCAGCCAGGACGCCAAACGAGGCATTTCCAGTACAGAAGTTTGGTACTAAAGGGACTTCGGCAAGGAACCCGAATCACCAACTACATCGCGGAATGGGACGACCTAGCGTTTTCGCTTCCCCGAAGGTCTGCCCTGATTTGCTGACATGCGTTACGACTTCGGCAGTTCCCTGTACCGAGCGTTGATCTTGGGAGCCACACCCACGAAGTGCACGCTCCGAGCATAGGAGCTACTTCAACAGGGCATGCCAGATCTCACAGAAACCTCGAAAACAGTACTGGATCGCACAAAAACTAAACATTGCATGAGAAACAGATACGACAGAGGTATTGAAACCATACCCAAACCCTGCGGCACATGGGGTTGGGACGACTTCGCCCCGGCAGGGACGACTTAAACCTACCGCTAGTACTAGTTAAACAGCTTTAAGTGTGACGTAGATTTCAGGAACCAGCCTCCACAAAAAAGTCGACAACGGCCATGGAGACTTGGAGCAAGGCGGCAGTTTGCTGCTGTATTGCCTGCGCGGATCAAATGCTACGACCCCACTGCTCCTGCCTGGGTGTGGTGCTTGATCAAGCTCCTCCCTAGCGTGGCCATTCTGGACTGATCATTTTTGTCGCCATCGACTACAGGAACTTTAAATGCTTCCCCTAAAGTCTAGAGCACCCTTAGATGAACCCCCGTGTCTTGCAACAGAAGCTGCATAGAGCACAGCTCCACCAGGTGAGGCCGCATTTGCCACAAGTAGAGAAGACAGGGATGTGAAGGTTGGCATGACCTGTTCCTGCAGGTAGCCCAGCACGTCCGTCGTCGGAGCTGCGATTATCCGCCTACTGCTGTTTCCAGCCGTCAGATCCTGCACCGTGGCTCCGTAGTTGTAGATGGTAGTCAGCATCTTCTGCCTGTTCTGCTCAGGATTGATGCCTAGGACGACGAGCAAAAACTCAATGGTCATCCTTTGGGACAGTGTTCGCTGGAGTCCCGCCGCATTGATGGTCTCGCTCCATTCTTCAGCTGAGGGAGCATTGCCAACAATCACACCTCCCTCACAGATCACGCTGCGATTGCAGCTCACCTCAAAAGCATCTCCATGAACTCATTTCCAAGGAAGAGATCTGCTTAGTTACACTACTGTTGGGCTGAGTGTTGTTGACAAGTCTCGCAGACTCCAGCTTCGAAGCGCTGCCCAAACTGACATTTCACGCATTGCTGCTCCCAGTAAAAGCCTTGGTTCAGCAGGCAGGTGCCAAACGAATCAAGGCTTTCTCAGAATAGGTTACACGATGGACCCTACAGACATAAGAAACTCGAATAAGATTGTGAGGGTCGCGACTGGATTCCGATACAAGGGGATTCTGAGCTCCCAAGTGCAGATTCCAAGAGAACAAAGCAAGCAAAGCAAGCTGGTAAGTTTCGACAAACCGAACCCACAACACACAGGCGGGAAGCATCCCTCAACACATGCCACCTCATGAACCCGCCGCGCTTCTGCATGCAAAGCCAAGCCCCGGTCTGGGAATAGCTAAACAAGGAGCCATCGCACTGACACATGCTGAGCTCGACGGCGCCCTGCAGGTCATAATCATGCAGCTCCGCAACCATAATCTTTCCATAGACTGGTGAATCACATACTTCGTGTTGTCAGCATGCCTGTCGCCTGCCTGTCCAAATCCCTCAGCAAAGGTGCTCGAAGCTGCATGCGGGTTTCCAAAATTTAGGCGTTCCGAATTTGGATGGCCGGGTGAAAAGGATTGTAATATCTTAGGGTCTATGTCGGGGTCCCTCTACTTACGGAAAGTACCGCATGAAACCAGCCGCACAGTGCCTCAAAGTTCGTGCTCAGCCCTGGCGGGCAAGGTGTGCAGGTCGCCTGACCTGCTTGACTCAAAGACACATATAGACACATGTCTCAACTGGGCGGCCAGTAGGGAGTAAGTGTAGGCATAAAATGGGCATTGTATTATATTGGAATCCTTTACTGTGTGTCTTGGATATGTGGGTGTCCTTGCAGGGCCCTCATTCCAAGGACTGTAGTGCATTTAGATATGTAGGGTAGACGGGGGGACGGTTTTGTATTGGAAGCTCCCACATGTGTGGCATGATAAATTCTCTAGTTTGTACAGCCTGTCACAAAGCCACCACGACTGCTCGACAAGACACGCGGAATTCAGTTAATTTCCTTTGTACCCTTAGGGACTGAAGTTTTTTTTGCCTCCCGCCTGGCTAGGACGAACCTACCCTAGGGTTTGAGACCCAAATTATGACCCTTGATAAGGGTATAGAGACCCAAAACCTAGGGTTACCAACATTAAGGGTGCCCCATAAAGTCATTAAACAATCCATCCCCTTTCCACATCATGTCCTATTGCACTTGGAAGTTGTGCCCCACAGGGACCTGGCAACTCCGCGTAGGATCCACGAGGGCACTTCGTGCAAATCGACTCGCCAGGAGACTCACTGAATTGACCTGAAAGCGGCAAGGCAGGCGAGACGTTGCAGTCCCCCAATGGCAAAACATGAGAACAAGCACATTCCTTCGAAACCCTGCTGTTGCACCCAATTCGGAACCAGAGCTTGGACGACAAGACAAAAGCTTGGCTGACTTCTGAAGCCCTCCTAAAAGTTAAACTTTTAGCCTCCTTACTATAGCTAATATAGAAACCCAAAAAGTTAAAGTCCTAAGAGCCAACCAGAATAACGCCAAGAAAAGAGCACACTTAATGAAGCGAGGATCGGAACCCAACAAAGCCATGCAGGCAGGAAAAGCCCATAATGAGGGAATGCAAGTAGCTTTGGGTGAGGAGCAACACTGAACAAGCCCTATACTCAAAATCATAGACCATCAAGGTGCAACAAGCCTGGCAAAAGAAGCAATCTTTCATGACTTCAATGCACTCCAAGACAGACCGCACAGTACTCCGGGCTAATCGAAATCCAGTTTGAGTCCGACATCGAGACGAGATGGAGGTGGGTTGAGTTCGAATTCGAGTTCGGATTCGAATTCGACATCCAAAAAAGAGAGGGGTGAGGCCGGTGGGGTTCGAGTTCCAGTTCAACGTCTGAATGACAGGGGGATTCAAGTGCAAGTTATTCGAGTTTTTCGACGTGCGAGGTCGGGGAGGGGGGGGGGTGTGTGTTTCGAGTTCGAGTTCGACCTCCCAGAGATCGCGAGGCGAGGGTTCGAGTCTGAGCTCGATATGCATGATGTCCGGGAGGGGAGGAGCGGGGGTGGTTCGAGTTCAAGTTTTCAGTTCGAGGTCCGAGACCCAATAGATTGGATTAGACTCGGTTAGACAAACTTGTTCGACAGATTGATTTCTTAGAAATCAATCGATTCCACAACGTTCAAGTCGATTCGACAGTGAACCTACGGATGTTTCGCCACATCTGTGTTTTCGAAATTCGACTGTTTGTCTTTCAAGACATCGGCTACTCGATGGCGATGCCGAGAGCAGAAATCAATATGCGCATCAATCGATTTTCAAGACACTGATCCGTTTTTACAGAGGCAATCGGCTACACAACTGCGACCACTCCAAACCGAAACGGCTACCCTTGGTCCTGCGAAGCAGCAAACAGGAATCAAACTGCTACCAAACTGCCACCAAACAGAAACCCCTTCGTATCAAACCCCTGAACGGGTAGCAGTTTGGTTGATGTTCCAAAGAGTTTGAGTGACAACTGATCTGCCGGAATCTGAAATTCTATTGATGCTCTCGATTGGATTTGTTGAATTAGTTAAATTGTTGGGCCTGAAGATCCATTGACGTCCAAGCCCCGCGGCGATGAACATCGACGGAACAAAACTTGATTTGCAATTTTCGACTGAAGACAAATCGTTGTCGAAAACGAGAGAACTTGCCTAGGCAAGTCTATTGGGTAGAGTGGTGGTTCGAGTTCGAGGTCGAGCTCGACGTCCGAAAGGTCATAGATGGGGCGAGCGTGAACCTGTATTGAAAGGACCGAAAGGTCCGGGGGCGGGATCCAGTGTGAGTTCGGAGTTCGAATTCGAGTCGTGTAGCAAAGGAAGTGAACTCGAAATCAACATCAAATCGGAATTCATTTTGTTCTGGGGGAGTGGTTCGAGTTCGAATTCGAGTTTGAGGTTCGCAATGCTCCAAAAACCGCTCAGCAACATTATTGAACAGAGCTACTGCAAGGACCCCCAGGCCACGACTGCAATTCGACAGCGTCAGAATCCAACTCTTGGGTCTGTTTAGCACTTAGCATGCCGTAGCTCCTGAGAAACTGAGTCTCCGCCTTTGAGCTTCTCTTGAATGCTGCTTTGGCTTTCGTCCCGGCCATGTCCTTCGTTCCCCATCGTTTCTGCTCCCGAGCACTTTGACTTACAAACGTTTCGCCTTGCAAACAATCTCTGATAAGGTTTTTTTGACTTCTTAGTACCTCCTCCGGGTGCTCTGCACGACTTTCCTGTCATGTTTTATCTCGTGGTCGGCTTGGTCTTACTTTCGCAGAAGGTCATCCCATGCTGCACTTGCCTTTCGTCACTTGTGCCGCAATGACTCGTATGAGTTGCTTCTCGCGCTTTGTTACTCCAAGCTGCCCAAGAATTACCGTAGACAGGTGCTCAATCCTTGTCAGTCAAAATCTCTCCCGCATTATGTCGCACTGTGACCACAGAAAGTCCTTCACCTGTTCGTAGCACCAACGCGTGCTACATCGCGCACCTACTGATACGCATAGGCAGCTATTCAAAGCAGCACCGTCTGAAAAACTTCGAACACCCGCACGGCCCTCCACCACTCCGCCTGTTGGACACTCCGCACAGGAGGAGGCCCTTTCGACCGACGAGTAGCGTCCAGGCGAGCACAGCCTGGTACAAGGTGAGAGGTCCCACCTCTACCACTCAAGTCTAGAAGCATTGCAGCATGGCTGCCAAATCAGGGCTTAACCTCTGAAACTTCGGGCTTAAGTCAGAGTGGAATTGCCTGAACTCTGACTTCCGGCCCAGCAACTGGCAGCTTGCAGATCCCGTTGCGCTAGCAAAAGAGCCAATGCTGCAAGGCTCACACTGGGCCATCCCGCTGGAAGCAAACCTTCCAAAACGCCAGAATGTGTGCGAGCACAACACAAAACAACTTATATAAGCTCCAAGGCACTCCCCTTGTGGACACTCTGAGCAGCCGTGCTCATTGATCCAAACCCTGCCATCTGGACAGCTGCTGCTGCGATCTGCCGGCCGAAAACCATTGACGAGGTCACAAGTGCCACTGCCGCAGCTGATGCGGTGGGCTGGGTCGGGACTCCATACCACATCCGTTTGGAAGAGGATTCCTGTGTCTGTGCGGTAGGCCAGGTGGTTGAAGGTGTCTTCAGGAGGCCCTCCTGCTTGGCGAAGCAGGATGACCCCATCTCGATCTCCCTCTAAATCTGGGCTGCTGAACTGCCGCACCCGTCCAGTGGTGCCCGCAAAATCCACCTGAAGCGAAAGAGCTTCCAGAGCTTGCCGGGCTGCAGGTGTAGCCAGGTCGGCGACCGACCTGCTTTAAATTTGGGAACCCAAAGTGCTTTGGTATTTCAACCAAGCGTCAAATCGTTATTGAGATTATTTCTAGGCTGCTGGCGAGGTATACGTCCCTTGCTTGCAGTTGTGCTTTCCCAGCCTGTTCTCTTCCACCAAGTAGGTGTGAAGGATGCTGGCAATCAACCAGACACCGTCGTAGAAATATCCGGCCCACTGATGATTGCAAACTCCTGTCCCGTTCCCAAAGCTCAAGCACTCCTCTGTGTAATTGCCGTAAATGTCCGCAAAGCGACGACCGGACAGGCCATGTACATCTTGCGTGTTCAACATGGGCCCGCGGTCAGCTGCAATGACCCCATATGCAGCACGGTGCAGCTCGGTGACCGTGCAGGGGCAGTCACTTGCGCCTGACCTCTCTAAGATGAAGCCAGGGTTCCACCATCCGGAAACTATCATGAAGCTGTAGAATGGCGAAAAAAGATTTCGGCCGTGGGTTTGGCACAAAAACATCGCCCCCTCGGTCTGGTACAATGCCACGATGTTTATTCGGGAGTCCTTGCGCTCTATCTCCTCAGCGGCACTCTGGGCATCCGCAATGTTGCCTGCGCTTGTGATTTGCACCGTGAACAACACTGTCCAGTTGTAACGACCTGCCGCCACGTCGTCTCGCATGAGTCCCGAAAGGTAGTTTACGCCGAGTGTGTTGATGCTCCGATATCCAACAACAATCCCGACTCGCTGAAAGCTCATGAGCTTTGTGAACCTAAGCTGCGCTGAGGTGAAATTTGCCAGGCTTGGGATCTTACAGGTCCAAGGCAACGAATCACAGCAACTCTCCCGCTTACAAAACTTTGAGGCTCACTCCAAAGGCACTCGTAGAGCGTCTGGACATTGAAGCGGTAAGACGGAGCCATGCGTGTGAAATACGGAAAGCGCGTGGAGTCACTCAGGCTTTCCGAGATACATCCGGGCGAGACCTGCCACAACCCTTTTACTTTGGGATACTTTGGGATTCAACACCTGCATAGCAGAAAATTGTGGGTTGAGACATGTTTGTAATTCTACCAGTGGCCTACATGCTGGCACACGATGTGCGGGGCACCCATGGTTTGAGATCTGTCTTGTTTGGGTTTGCGGCCTGCAGGACATTGAAAAACTGAGTGGCGTCATTCATCGCCTCGCATGCTGCGCTGCAGGAGTCAGCCAGAACGGCATGCTTCGTGGGGCTTCTTGCCAGGGCCTCTATGGTCGCCTGTGTGGCACCGGGCACTGAGCACTTGGAGTCGCCCAGGAAAAGGTTCATCCGAAATCCGGGTAGAAAGTTGCTGTTCTCAACGTCCTGTGCCGCCGCTGCAATCGCAGGCTCAACCATTGTCATCAGCTCCCCTAGGCCGCCACTATATGGGCTAATCACCGCAACATTAACGTCTGCGGCACCAACCCGTGCAGGGTTGGCCGCTACTGTCACCTCGGGATCTCGCAACACAGGACTACCCTTAACATGCAAAGGAATCGCAAAGGGATGTGGAGTCCTGGCTAATGTGGGAACATCTTGAGCACCACCCACCTGACATCCGTTGCTATGATAGCGGCATGGCCAGGCAGCGTTGTTTGAGGTTGCTGTGCAAATCGCCGGGCAAGTCGCACGAGCCACCAAGGCCAAGCTTACGACAAGCAGGATGCTGCATAGCCGCTTCACGGCCATGGCTGTAAAATTCTTAAACTTCGAACCAACCCATACCCCACAATAAGCGGTATAATCAAGAAGCGGAAATTCAAACGGAGAATGAAATGCAAGCTGGGCATATTGAAATGTGCGAAAGAAAACGGAGATTTGCTTTTCGTGGAAACCGAAGGTGCAATACACTGCGCATAGTCGCACAATCGGACTTGGGGCTTTGCCGAGCCAGCTTTGAGCTGCAAATGCTGAGAGCGCGAGGCAATGTAATAACGAGACGAGAACAAACAACGTCCATTCCGAAATGTTGCAACCCGTGGTAGACGGCCAAGTCCAAGTGATGCTTGCTCTCCCAGGATGTATTATTACGCTTGATCTGCAGCACCGCCGGAGATCTTGCAGAAGCAATGCGGCGGGAGATATTTACAGAAGCAACGCGGGGTTGACTACCTTGTTTGCAACGTTTCTTCATACGTCTAGGTTCTACGCACTGCGCACTCATCATCACCCATTTCAAAGAGCCAACCGTTGGCACCCACTCTAGAGCTCGTCATGCTCACTAGCAGTCCCCGCGCCTCAGCCTGTCTAACAACTAGGACGTCCTCGCAGCCTCAATAAGTTGGAAGTGGCCGTTGCCTCTTTGCATGCCGCCAGAATGATTCAACATGAGATCATTCATAAGAGCATCCACCCTTCCGCCACCTGCTTCAACTTCTGAGACTAGCAGTCAGTAGCTCATATGAAACGGACGAAGCGCGAAGATACAACTGTCTATGCGCGGAGAGTCACATCTGTTGTTTCGGGACTAGCTTCACCCCAAACGTGCAATCAAAGTACGAGGGCCAATCCAACATGCCCTCACACACAGGTCTACTGGGTTGCCGTTAAGGATCATATTTAATGTATGATACCATATTTGGGAACCATATTAATTTGTACGTATACTCATTGTAGCAACCGAAACTGAGATCCCGAACAGCAACCCAGTCTATGAAGAAATGCGTTGCTGTTGCGCAAGTGCTGATGGTAACTGTCCCACCCACGAACTGATGAGGAACTTTTTTCTTCTCATGCTTTGTAAATCTTTCGTGCAATGTGACTCTTTCACCCAACTGCGGCAACTGCGGCTGTGACATCACAGAGTGGATCTGCAGAATGTCCCGCCCCCCTCCCCCCCGCCACACACACACACACACACCCATCCACCCAGCTTCGCAGCTTAGTAGCAAGCAGTAAGACCTAGGTCACGAAAACCGCAAAATCCCAACATCTCCACCTTGAACAACCCGAAGTGGACCACCGTTGGCAGCTGCAGGGACAATAGCTGGCTTAACTCGCATCACGTAGAGAGCTCACTCATCAAAGCCGTCCACGCCACCAAGCTTGCATCACAGCAGCCCTCTCTGAGCTTCGTTTCCAAAGCTGTACTTCGCACCAGGGAAGTACCAGGACAACTGCTTCTTCCGGGCCCCTGCCACCCCGCCGCATCAAGCCCAACATGACACGAGAAGCTGGTCCGAAATCTATTCTCGTGGTATTGGCACAACTATGTACATGTGATACCTTCTTTCCGCATCTGTAGTCTGAAATTGCCAGCCAATCTGCTCCACATCGGTGCGACCTCCAAACTGTCTGTGGGGCTTCCGTCAAGCTCCTTGCTGCGCAGTCGCCGGGCAAGAGTATGGGGCAGGTGACAGCAGCACACAGTCATTGAAATCGCACAAACAAGGTTTCATAGGTTATCGGGGAAATAAGCGATGCCCCTGCGCGCAGTGAAGTTAAATGCATCGTTTATAACCTGTGAAGACGTGGGTTCCTCTCCTTACAAACTCAGGGCTGCCTTCGGTTTTGTGATTAGTGAACTGTCGTGTGCACTTGCCACGGCTCTGTCCATAAGAATCCATGTTCCCTCCCCCCTCAGAAGGCCTCGAAGCACGGCGCCGGTAGCGCAATGTCGACGTACTCATGCATCTGCCTCTTCTGCTCGCTGCCGCTGCCGCTGCCGCTGCGGCTGCTGCCGCTGCTGCTGCTGCCGCTGCCGCTGCTGCTGCCGCTGCCTGCCGCTGCCGCTGCTGCTGCTGCTGCTGCCGCTCGCTGCCGCTGCCGCTGCCGCTGCCGCTGCGGCTGCTGCCGCTGCTGCTGCTGCCGCTGCCGCTGCTGCTGCCGCTGCCTGCCGCTGCCGCTGCTGCTGCTGCTGCTGCCGCTCGCTGCCGCTGCCGCTGCCGCTGCCGCTGCGGCTGCTGCCGCTGCCGCTGCCGCCTGGCCGCCGCCGCCTGGGCTGCCGCCGCCGCTGCGGCTGCCGCCGCTGCGGCATGCGGCCGCTGCGGCTGCGGCTGCGGCTGCGGCTGCTGCTGCGGCTGCTGCTGCTGCTGCGGCTGCTGCTGCTGCTCATCAGGCGACGACTTGCGACCATAACAAGAACAACAACCACAGCTGACGATTCACGGCCCAATGCACGAGGCTCGTGTATGCCCATACAAACCACGTGCATGTTGTCATTTACAGATCTCTCCCCTCTTGCTGGCTGGCGTGCTGCTACCAGCGTTCTGTCGGGTCTTTCGTTAGATCAAGCTTTCAGTCAGATAGCAATGCTTTGATGGATAGGGTTGTTCAGCTCAACGGGGTTGTTCCGCCAGATACAGAATTTCTGAGACAGACAGATGCTACTTGTCAAGTTGGAGCCCAACCCAAGGCTTCCCCAACCAAAATCTTGAACATACACTCCACAAAAACTGAGCCCTCAAGACCCATTTGAATTCCTGGATCCTTCGGCGCCTATTCCCGCAACCCCACGGCCAAACTCTCCCTGACCCCTTCATTCAACTCTTTACCGGTCCTGTGAGAGTTGATCGGAGCAGCAGCTTTGGGCAACACCCATGGCGCGTGGAACTCGCTACGCTTCCTCGAACACTAGTGGCTTCGGACTGCTTAAAGCTAAGCTAAACGAACCCGCAACTTGACTCGACTGGGTTTCGAGTTCCGATCGCCTATCACCCCAAAGATCCAAGACACAACGAATATCTGAGGCCCTATGCTTCATAAGCCGCAATCTGCTGCGCGTGCATACCTCTTGCGCTGGTCCGGGCTGCATTCGAAGGCAATATTCAGTAAGACCAAAGATCGCCAGCACCGCGCAACAACAAACGTCAGCAACCCACCGAGAGATCACTAGCCACAAGCTTCTTATCGACTGGGCACTACCTGGCAACATGTCCTTCGGTCGGCGAAGATACGAACCCGCTCCGTCAGCACGGTCGCACATGCTCAAATGATGCGCAAAACGCATGCGCACATGTGGCAGCCAACACCCCTTCCGTCGGAGAGCCGTAGCATGCCGTAGCGAGAATGTATGCCAACTTCGTTTTCTTGTCCAGCAGCTGCCGTTAGCTTGGCTTGGGCAAACACGACTATGTGCTTGGCGCAAATTTTCTTACAGCCTTGAGTTCATCGCAGGATTATGAGAGAATTTAGGGTACGGGGCTCATCCTCGACTACTCCATCCATCTTGCAGTACTTATCAGCTGCATCTTCAGATACCGTACTTTTCCATATCTTGGGCAACATTCAGTTTTTTCTTGTGCCAGATTCCAGACAATGGCGAACGTGAGCATGTGCATCCTGACGGCATGCAGCATCTGGTCGGAACTTGTTACAGATGAGACTTTTCATTTCTCTGGCGATGTAAAGCTCACCAAACAACTGCAGCGCGACTGCACGGCACTGTTGTGTCGGTCAGTCTTCGCCAGGCTGTTATGCCATTGGCAACGGCCAGAGTTTCCTCGTCGAATTTGGGCTGTGTTGACAAAGCTCCAAAAGCTTCTGCTTGAATACATGTTCCCTTCCGACAGTAAAAAATGCCATATTTCACCGGACATTGAAAGATTGGTATGTCTCTGCGCAATGGCCAAGGGCTTGTTTTGGCTACGCTACAATTGTAGCAAGAGACAGGCTGTGTGCGTGTTGCGGTTGTTACCCGACCATGTTCAGGCTGCTTTTCAGGGTCGCGGCTCCTTTGTTGCTGTCAGAGACTTGGTGAGATGGCATGAGGCCCTGATTTTGGATACTGCTGATAGCGAGGCGGTTGTTTATCAGTGGTTCTCGTGTCATTTCAGATATACAGGTTTCGCACATACTGCCAGAGATAGTGCGCCGAACATTGCTGGGCCTGTGAAACGTTTTTCTGAGCATATGCTTGCGACTATGCGGCCTCACTTACCGGAAGCAAGAAAGCTTCGCTATCGTATGGCACGCAGACATCCTCCTTGGATGATCTTTTTCGTAGTCGTTGGTCAGGGCACGGCTTTGCGCATGCGTGCTGTGGAGTGGCAAGACATCGTCAACCATCGACCCTCCGCCAATGGATATGTTGCCACGGGCATGCGCGAGAAGCAGAGAAAGCGACCTCCTAAACACTGTCGGATTCCTCAACCACAAAATCAATCAGAAGATGGTGCCAGACTACGTGCACGCGAGGCCCGTCTCACGAAGATGGATCAAGGAGTTAGGTTGCAACATGTTGATGTTCAGAGGATACCATATGCCACTGCTTATTTGGCTCATTCACGAGCAGTTCTGGCTGACACTGGGTTCTTTGGTCCGCACGACATCTACAATCCTGCGAACGCCCAGTTGCTTGCATTGTGGTTGGTTACACGACTAGCATGCGTTGATTGGCAACTCTGTGAGCGAAAGTGGGGCAGATCTTTCTTGTTTCCTGCCCTCTGTGGCTTGAAACGGTTCCTGCCTCGTTCCGGTCAACGTGCCATGCTGAGCCGGAGATTGCGAGAGTACTGTGACTACAAGCGCTTGCCGTTTGGCCTTTTGCGTGTTGCCTCTCCGGATAAGGAGTCTGCGCGTGTTCTCCGCAAGGTGTTGGTCCAGTACATTAACTCTGCTGCCAGGTTTTCAGGTGTGGAGAAATCTTGGCTTAAGTCTCGCATACGTGTGCAAGTTGGCAAAAGCCGCATTTTCAAGTCCTTCTGGAACCATGTGCAAGTTGCTGGGAGAGCGTCCCTGACATCACTTGAGAGTCTGAGCATGCATGACTTGACTTCGATCATGTCAGGACAAGGGTTCCTTCGATCGGAAAAGAACTGGGATTATCGATACAGGTTGACTTTTTCTGAGCGTGTGCAGTGCATTCGTGATGAAACATTGAAGGGTCTCAAGTCGCTTGGCTTGCCACAACGTGAGCTTGCCGGTCTGCACTCGACTGTGTCCACTTCCTTGCGTTCTTCTGTTGAAGTTGACAGGTTGTTGGCTCGACAGCGGCGTTCTGCGGATGCTTATGCTTGCGAGACCAAGGGCATGCAATTCTACAGGTTGCGTCGGGCTGTTGTTCCTGATGACAAAAACAAGAAAAGTGCATGGATCTTGCCAAAGCTTGCGTACCAAGTACTCTGCCTTGCTTTCGTGTGCTTGTCCAGTACCTGGACGTTTGTGCAGTACTCGCGGGCCTATGCCAACAGCTTGTTGCTGCAGCGCATGAAGAACACCTTGGGTGCGGCTCTAAGCGCACGGCTAGGACTACATGATGGTGTCTGGGTTTTACCGTACGTCTACACAACATTGAAGAGCAAATGTTTTTATGATGGCTGCAAAGTGGGGCGATGTTGCCAAAAGCATGCACATTCTTGCGTTCGAAAGATTTGTAGCTATGCCAAATGGCCAAAACGACGTGTTTGGCAGTATTTCAATCGAGGTGCAGATGTTATTCTACGACATTTGTGCCCAGGGTTTGAGGCTCATGGGTTGAAGGACGCAACCGTGAAGCTACGCGAAGGGCTCAGAGATCTGGATATTCCTGGAGACCCGCACACTTGCTTAAGGTGCCAAGCAGCAAAACAACACTTCGTTGCAATTGTAGCAGATGCTGGTCAGTTTTATGAAGAGGTTGCTCCACAACGCGCTCTTGATGCCGGGTTCACTGTCTTCTCTGCGGCTGCTTCTGTTGGTTGGAAGGGCGTTGCCGTTGCTCGCACCCGGAAGTTCTTTGGTTTCATGACGTGCGAGTTACAAGGTGGACGCGGCAAGTTTGTCCGCTTGAGCTTGTCGGACATTTTTGCTACGTTTTCGACGGCCGTCAGCGTCTCCTTAGTGTCTGTGGGCCACGCAGTTGCTATGTTGAGTGGGTTGCCGATAGGTGGCCTCATGAGCAAACTGGCTTCAAGCATGGTTCTTTGCCAGGAAGAGGAGAACTGGAAAACAAATCATATGCAAAGACAGCGTGCAGGTTTTTACTCCCTGCGACAATCCTGGAGGCGTACGGTTTGCCATGTCAGGTATGTTGATGACGTGTTCTTGGGTACCCACAGTTTTTGCAAAGATTGCCTCGTTGATCTCCTTCTTCATGTGTATCAGGAGCGGTTCGATGTTGCCGAGGATGAGTTCCCCCTCCATTTCCTAGACATGGTGGTGGGCTCTGACAAACGTTTGACACCCAAAAGAAAGGTGCTACAGATTCCTCCCCCATGGGCGACTGGAGAAGGTTACATTCGGCCTCTGCTGTTGGGTGCAATTCATCGCGCCTCGCAAATATGTGATTCACGTAGTGACCTGCATTTGTATATGCTTCATTTCCTTTTGGATTGTATGTCGTGTGGATGGAATAGCAGAGCATTGTCGAAGGTACTTTTCACAGTGCATATTGCAAGTTTGCATGAGACGATTTGTTTACTTCGCAGTGCTATCCGCGATCCAATGTTCAAGCAACTTGCAGCCTCTTGCCAGAGACAGTGAGCAGCATGATGGTCCCGCTTAGCCTCCTGCTTTGGTTCCTGCTGTTCCCTCGCCACCTAGAGGCGACATGGGGCAAGGGAGGCAACAAAGGCTACTACAATCAGTGGTCGTCTAAGAACTGGAACCGGAGCAATTGGTCTGGCGGCAATCAGCAGTCATGGAGTGGTAAAGGCGGCTCCTCAAGCTTTGATGCTGGATTGGCTTATGCCATGCTGTTGGGAGATAGGGAGAAGTCTACAAGGCGTCATTCCTGCAAGAAGCGCTCACATCGCGACGATGCCTCGTCAGATTCGTCCCGATCGTCATCTGCAGACAATCACAAGCGATCCAAGCATTCGTCAAAAATCAAGCGGGAGTTGTCTGAACTCCGTGCTTTCAAGGAGAAGACCGAACAGGCTGCTGTTGAAGAGAAGAAGCACAAAGAGTTGCAAGAACTAGAACAACGTCTTTGGGAAAGGTTGCAGTCCACAACTGCACATACGAAGCCTGCTCCGCCGTCTAGTGCCGATGCAGGACAGATCGTGTTGTCTGGCCCTCAAAGACGCCTCGCTACTAAAGTGCTGGCAGGAGCCATCACAGACCAATCGTCAGTGCAAGCTTGGGCTGACATTGTTGCTGTAGTGGATTCCATGGAAGGCCGCCAACTTCTAGAGGTGCTCAGAAGCGAGGGTCTGGCCACTCCACGTGCTTGCAAAGAGCGCCAGAGCATTTTGCTTACGCATCTGCAAGCCGAACTGGAAATCAAGGCCTGAGTGGGATTTCCCGCATCAGGTCTTGTGCAGCATGGCTGGGCTCTTCTCTTTGAGCATCCAGCCCCGCCCTTGTGGTTCTTTTGGGCCATACTTCTGGGGTTCTTTTTGGGTTTTGCATTCTATGCATGCAGAGCAGACACGTCGATGCAACTTCCTTGGCCCCTTGGGGCTGGCATTACGTATGTGCAGGCTCTCCGAGTCATTTCTTGTGACGAGTTGGGAATAGGGGCTGCTTTGAGCCAATCTGGGATCCCATTGCAACCAGCGGCTGCATACACAGTCCGAGGAAGGTCAGCTTTGGCATGTGCTTTTGTGATGCAACGCATAAAGGCCATACGGGCCATCCCATAGTGTTCAGTGCGGCAGCGCTCCCTGCTTAGTTGCAGTGAAATGTTCCACGAAGTGTTCTCTCAACACTCGTTTTGTAAGACGAAGACGTGTCATGACTTGCCTTGAGTCTTGACGTAAAGCATACAGATGTGTGAAGGGACATGCGCCATCCAACTTGGCGTACAAATCCTGATGTTTCTGCTATGTTGCTCAAGTTTCCATATGTCAGGGCTCTGCTCAGCAGGGCTGGAGGGCATGCAGCAGGCAGCGCTAACAAATCGTCTCCAGGCTGCCCCTGACCTAATTTACACTTAATCGGAGCTGTACGGCGAGTACAAAAGGCCTGGCTTCCGCTTCTGCTTTCTTTCTACGGGGCTCGAGGGGATCTCATGCGTTGAGCCTCAAGCCCTGAATCGTCAAGCCGCAGAGCTCTCCTCGCTTTTTTGTCAATTTGCTCTCGCGGGTCATCTTAACACCCTTCCCAGTCTTGGATCCTGCAACCCTTCAACGCACAACCCAAACTCGGCTCGACACACAGCTGAGGCTACTCGTCACTTCCCTGCTGCTTCTTGACCTGCGGCGGAAGGGTTGTGCAAACAGTACGTACGATTCCAGGTTGAAGATTTCTCCGGTACGTTTGATTTCTAACATATTCGAGCGCTTAGAGTCCTTGTGACCAGGCAGCCATTGGGCATGTGCCCTGTTATTCAGGACATGACGACCTGTCGTAGAATCGCTGTTCAGAGGACATCTTAGGCCGCCCTCACTCTTGGCGAAGAGCGGCAAGGCTTGGCATTCAGAGTTCTTTTGTCGTCGCGAGTCTGATGGGGGCATGCCATCCCGCGAGTAGCTGCCCTGTGGCGGCCCCATTGCTCGATAGAGTCGAAGCTCGAAGCTCCTTGACCCCTGAAAACACGACTACCAAGCAATCTACCTCTGCTAAAACCTACACTAAACTGCATGAGACCAAGCACACGAGCCGACCACAGGAGACGAACTAAACCAAAGGACGAAGGAGTCCGACTACATCAAACGTGCGATAACCTGACGTGTTGAAAGCATCGCTAAGAACAGTCTAAGCCCTGACAGAAACCATGCTAACAAGTGGAAGCTCGAGAAGCCATGTGTCGAGGTGTAGCTGCCTGTTGATCGTGCGAATCCACGCAGCGTGTTGAACGTGTGACTACGAAATACATTCCGTTGGCGGGTGCCCAATCATTTTGACAGCCTTTCCTGAAGAAGCACTTCAATGCAAGAGATGGACACTGACAGGCCATGCCGATGTTCAATATAGGTACCAGTACCTGCCTCCGCTGAAGTATACGGTCTGACAGTAGCACCTCGCGCCTTAAAGTTCTACCGTCTCGCAAAGGTTGTTGAGCCAATGGCAAGTGCAACTACTCGCACGTAGTGGAAACTTGAAGTAGTTCCGATGATTAGGAGGTGTTCTTGAGGCTCCTACGGAAGCATATCCTAGCCGCTCAGGAACGCGACGCCCGACAACCTTCTTTGGAGGTACAGCTGTACGACGATGAAGACCACGCCAACGATACCAACGCAAGCAATTGGACACACGCTTTTCTTCATGCTGGAAACAAAACGGTTCGGTTGCTGTTGAAGAAGAGAATGCTGCACTCTGGGAACCACCCTTTAATGGCAACCAATACTGTCAAACGTGCTTCGGACCAGGAACTGAATTCCGCTACCTGCATGTAAACGAGCGTGAAGGTACTTGAGCCGAGTCCAGGCGAAAGGAGATGCGCCCGCTGTGCCGTCCCAGAGCGCAGCTGAAGCTTCCGAAGATTCGAAGATCGAAACCGAAACACGCTAAGTAACACCCTTACTGTGAACAGTCCCCACCGCCCTCTGCTTGGCGGTGGGCGTATCCAGGAAACGCCCGGTGCTTGTGTAGATTTGAACGGCCCGGCCAGAGTCCAGGGCTTATGGTGAAGGGAGCAGCTCAGAATATTGCCGGCAGCAAACAATCCCGTCCATGCAGCAGAGCTTTCACAATTTGGCTTCAACGGTTTCTTGTTGCGGCTCTCCCGCGAGAGACTGTACCGGCCGCAAAGAAGTAAAGGTTGTGTCTTGAAAGACCTGCCGTGTCCCTTTGGGTCACCGAAAAGCTTCAGCGCCCTCTCCGAGACCAAAATTTTCCACTCCGAAACAGCGACCTTCCCCCACCCAGAGCCCTGGCCCTGCTGCAGCGGCAGGAAACGTCAATGAAACTTGAAATCTCCGCTCACTGGCCGAAGCGGTTCTTGAAGTGGGAGGCCTCAGTGGTACTGTGCCTGCTGTGCTGCATCGTCAAAACATTGCCGGGGCGACTCTGGATTATCTTCGGGCTTAGGGCTTACGCTCTCGCTCTCAGACAAGCCAGACGAGGTCTCTCGGAACGACTGCACACTACATGAGGGGTGAAATTAGGCCATCGTTTTGAACCAGCTCCGATCAGAGATAATTCAACGAATCCCATGTACGCCAAAGAGCGGCATCTGTGCCGGAGCTAAGGCAGATTTCTCAAGCTGAAAGCAAGCTGGTATATAAGAGTACAGGGTAGGAGCCTTGAGCCTTGAGGCCTGACATCCCCCGCCGGTTGAGCGCCGCACGAAGCTGTCGGCCTGCAGGGGGCATGTTGATGCAGCATCACGATGAAACATTCAGTGCTGCAGTCAACACTGAGACATCAAATCCATGTAACTAACGTCAATTTGTCAGTTTCCCACTTATCATTGCTCGCTCGCATTTTGTTTTCGTACTCTTCGCTTTGTGCCGACCTACGCAGAGCAATTCTTGGCGGGAGCAGTCGAAGATGGGCCGGCGGAGGAAAAGCAAGGAGGCTTGGGTTCATAACGTTTTCTGTCTCGTTGTGGCGTTCGCGGCTTGCCTCATGCAAGCTGTAGGTGGCTGCAGCTTCCGTGCACGAGCTGCTGGACTCCAATCGTGTTTCTTGCTGAAGGTGACTGTTTGCCTATGTTTCTTGGCTGTTATCTTGCAGTCATGTGCTGTCATCCCATGCGAAATGCTACACATCAGAGTTGTCCCGCAGGCTCAGGCCGACAAACACGAACGATGAAGATACTGTCGACCACTTGTCCCCCTCCCGAGATGTTATGATGTTAAGCATGGTTCACAAAGCGGAAACCTGCCTCCAGCACCTGGAAGTCTTTTCACATCTTCCTGCTGCAGCAGCAGCTGTTGAAGGGTTTGTGGGTCAGCTGTTCGGGGCTTGGAAGTTGACGGTGCTGCCAGAACCGCCCCAAACTTCTTAGGATCTGAGGATGTCTAGGGTTAGAGGCACCAGCCATCAGCTTCAATGTTCCGCACTTCTGTAGCCTGGAGTGACAGTTGAACGGCCAGGCGGCGCCTCGATCCGGACAGTAAGTTGAAGACCTGGGCACCAGGACCGTTCTGTGCTTTGAGGTTTCAGTTTTGGATTTCGGGTCTGGGGGTTTTGTGCATTATCTCTAGTTCTCACTCGTATTGCAGGGGCAACGCTAGAATCCACTACGTTGAAACTCCTGGGGTGACCGAGAGTTTTGGGTTTTTTTTACGTATGCCACTCGGGAATGGAAACGTGACAATCCGAAACGATCAGCCCTTCACCCTACCACCACGCACCAAGCCGTCGTCTTGAAATCTTACTTCCCCGTAGAAAACCGCATCATAACTGTTGCCTAACTTGCAGGACACGAGAAGCTACAGGAAACCAGCACGTTTGAGGTTGGTATTTGACTAGAACTGGGTAACACTCGAACATGACAGAATCTTCCACTTTCACTTCGACCATCAAGGCCTGGGCCCCAAACCTTTAAACTTAAAGCCTAGCATGCAAGACAATCGGCTTCAGATTGCACTCCTCAATACTTCCAGCATGGGCCACTAGGCCGTGGCACCTGAAAGGAATAAGGGCAAGCAGCACAGTTATGGAGTTTGTCTTCGCAACAAATTGCCGAGCCCGAAAAGCTCATGCCAGTCAGGCGAACCTGAGGCTGTAGCTCTTGAGCTGCATGCTGCCCGGCACTGGTCGAAGCACCCGCACGCTCCTGGTCGAGGGCTTCTATTAGCTCGAGCTCTACGGGTGTTGCATGCTAGATTAATGGACACATATGTATGCAGAGATTTCGGTATGCACATGCAGGGAAGCGAACAGGAGGGAGAGGGACAGAGAGAGAGAGAGACTTGCATGTTGCAGTCAAGCGCAATCTGTGCATCAAGCATGTTTTGATGTGGCATGGGCAGGTAGATATGTCCAAGGGCACTGCCGTGAGGATGAGCCGCATCATCGTCGCGAAAACGAACTCTACACTCTAGGCTACCCGACAAAGGCGCGCCCGGTGGCCGCTGTGAGAGGATCCGCCAGAGATCATCCATGGAGCCTGTGGGCCTGAAGCCAGGAAAGTTGAATGTGTGTGCTTTAGGGCTTTCGGCGCGACAGGGTTTTTGGCTTAGTTTGGGAGCCCGGACTCAGATGAGAGTGTTGGGAGGCTTTGTGGAGTTACGAATTTTCGACACTCGCCGTTGCCACTCTGCGGGGCGGCTACACTGCTACACATGCCTGGTCCGATTGCTCAAGCTATGCCCAGGCTGGAGATAGCAAGTTTGGAACTTGACGTTGTCTGATCAGTGCTTCTAGAAAGTGAAGCTTTTTGGGGACCATAAAGCACGCAACAGGAAATTCAAACTAGGACTTGGAGGTCGCGGTTTTCAGCATGCCGCTAAATTAAGGCACCATCGATTATTTGACTGCTCAGCCCCTTTTGCCGCACAAGCCACTGGTCGTCGGCGGCTACGATGAGATCTCCCTCAAGAATTCCGGCCCGAACGGCGGGTCCTGCAAAGACAGCGGAAGGCTTGTTAGGCTCATGAGTCAAGTGATTGGCATCATCACCTTTATGGCCACGCCGAGTTGTGTCAACTCAGGCACTGCTCAAAGTACACGCATCCAGGAAGAGTCGCGCTACGACGACTACTACCACACCACCACCACCACCACCACGACCACCACAACGACGAACCCTGCTGATTCCTCTGAAACTGCTGATTGTGTTTCTCGTTGCGACAAGCTCTCAACGTCTCTCGTTTGCAGGGGTGGCCTTCTGGATCCATGCCAGCCACCTGAGACAGAGCTTGACGCTTTAATCACCGCGACAACTCGTACTCCGCTTGCCGCAACGCAACGATGCAGGGGATGGGTGTGAATCACGCATGTAATTCCGAGACATATTTGTGAGCAGGCTTTCCGGTGTTCACTTGACTTCTGCCAACCTCCCTGTTGACGTTTGCCATGCTCACAGTCATTATCATTTTGTCCGCCTTCGAAAACACACTGAAGCTACCGCAGCAATGTCGTAACTCTCTTTGACCTTACGACTATGAAAATACAACAATGATCTTCACCCCATGCGAGACTAAGAGTCAAGCGAGCATGACTTGAAAACAGTCAAGCAATTGTCAAAGCACTGCTGCCCATCCTGAAGCATCTTTGCATTACTGCTGAGCAAGCAGCCCACCGCCCAAAGCATCTTTACATCTTTACACCCCATGCTGCACACCTGGCGACCCTCAAGACCCTGAAATCTATCACTGGAGGAAGACCTGCACCACCGTTGGCAGCTGGAGACCGTATCCTCATTCGGCTGATGGAACATTCCCAGGTCGAACTGCATCATGGATTTTGGGGTCTAGGGTCTATTGGTGTCCGACTGCCTAAAGGCCCTACAGTATTCAGGCTTTCAGGTTTCACCTCAACCCGCAAGGTGCCCTGAACAAGCTTCTCGGCTCACAGCGAGTGGGCGATGCCGAAAACTTTCTGTGGCTCTCTTCCTAACGGTAAGCTGACTAGCAGGCCCAAGTCCCTGAACTGAACACGGCTTGGCCCGCGGGCAACATGCAATGGCTCTTCAGACTGCATGCAGCTCTGACACTGCTCATGCCCTATGCTTTATCGGCTTCCTGCATGGATGTAACAAAATCCACGACTGGGGTGTTCCCAGCCGCCCAACTGCATGTGCCACCTGTTCTGCTCAGGCCGATGCTGACAGGCAAAACCATGACATACAGGATGACTTCCTACGAATGGTTCTTCTGGACATGTACAACCAAGCCGGCGGCTATAGGAATGACCACAGATATTTTGACTGTTTTGAGACTAGATGGAAGAGAAGCGACCCAGGATGGGTCCTGGAGGCTGTTGCAGCCTCCAAGTACCCGTCTCAGGTGCCGGAAACACGCTCTTGGTGTACGCGAGCACACCCTGCCCTGGCATACTATCTGTGGACTCCCTGCATCGTTGGCAAACTCCAGTGCTGCGTGGAGGCCCTGGAAGGATTGGATTGAACTTCAATCTGGCCTTTATGTGGACGGCATTTGGACAGCTGAAACTGCACCCTGTCACCTCTGTGTTGGTTCCCTGACACAACAACGGTCAGGACCTGGGATGCACAACGCTTACCAAAGCCAGAGCAGTCCTGTGTATACAAGAAGCTGTCTAGGACGTCGCAGTCGACTCTGGAAACTCAAACCACAGGCCCCTGCTCGTCGCTGTCGACGTAAGAGAAAACTCTCCCACACCCGTCTACCTTCACAGGTCTATCGGGCGGCTGCAAGCCTTCTCACCTGGATGCCAACTGCCACTGCGATCTCAACGTGCGCCCATGCAAGCTTTGTTGAGGGTTGCAGGATCACTTGCAGCAAGCTTTACTGTAGACTGTGGCTGCCACTGACGCTTCACATCAGAGACAGGGCGAACATGTGGCTTGATCAGTGCTCAAGCAGGCAGATGTATCCGCATACCACATGCACTATGCCAATCACTCACCCCACCATAGGCCCTTTAGGGGTTAGGTCCCCCAAGGTTGCACCTAGCCAAACGGTACCTCAGGGATCTCAAGGGCCCCAAGGACTTCAGCACCTGTTACAACCGGACGGGTCACCCGACCGTGTTGAACGCCCTGACCCCTGGCTGGGCTACTCTAATCCCACGGCCTCCAACATGGACCGGGATCCTCTTCATGACAGTGTCCTCGAGGAAGCCAGTATGGAAGCAGAGGACACCGACGAGGGCAATGCAAGCTCGGCTCCTACCTCTCCAATGACAGCTGCAGAGCGGGCGCCCTTGCCCGATCACGTCCCACCTCATGCGCCGCCATATGGACCTCCTCCACCCCAACCGGTCAATGCTCCGTCGACAATGGCCCACTTCCGAGCTCGTCGAACTGAACCCAGTGCAGGCTCCACCTCGACTTCAGCTGGAGTAGACTCCATGGGCATAGCTGCCACGTGGCCAACCCGGGCTCCCTACGGTGAGGCAGGCGACGCTCCACGATGGCACCGCACTTTGGCGGCCAACATCCTCCACCACCTCCAGCTGACCGGACCGGCGTATGTGAGGGCCCCGGAGTATGCCGAAGTCGCAACCTGGCGATCTCTCCTGATCAGCCTCAGGGAGGCCACGCCGGCCGAAGAGTACATGCTTGCCAGAACAGACCCGCAGGACCTCAACAACGCCGTGTACGATGACAACGTCGACAATGGAGTCCATGAGGCAGGTGGGGTAGAAACGGCACCGGAATCCGAGGGACGTACTGATGACCCAAACACCTCGGAAGCAGACTCGGAGAGCGATCGAGACCGGACCGCAACAAGACCTCCCTCTGCTACCATAGCCCCTGCCCTGGCGACCACCTCTATCATTGCAGCCATGCCACCTCCAAGCGGCCATCTACCTCCTGATGACTCGGCAGATTCAGAGCCCGATGCAAGCGGCACGCTGTATGAATCAGAGGACGGGTTAGTCTGTTTTGACCTGGAACAAGCCACCCACTGCCTACATGAAACTCGGGAAAGGCTCCATATGTATCGCGAGGACCACAGCCGTGATCGCCAAGCAGAGTCATCGGCCCCAACCGCAGGTGGAACACGATCCAGATCGAGGTCCCGCTCGCCAGCACCGGACTCGGGTACCAGGTGGGCACCCGAGGCCCCCCCACCCGTAAGCCTCAACATGCTCATGGCTCCGACCAACCTAGCTACACGCTCCGAGCTGCTAGCTTCGAGTACGGCCAGCCACGACCTGGACCCTAAGTCCCCGCCTGTCCATGACGCCCCTAGCGCCACGCACAGTCCCTCAGGTGAAGCCCGACAGTCTGGCATGACATACCGGCCCTGTCAGCTCTGGTCACTTCTACAGCTCTTCCAGTGTAGCCGGTTCGCACCACAGCAGCCGAAACCGGCCCTCCCATGCAAAAAAGAGGAGCCACTGCCTGCAATTGCCCAAGTGATACTGCTCTGCATTGCCGTTGTCTGGACTTGCCTTGCCAGAGCCTCTGTGCTGCCATACGGCCCCTTCTCCAGGTACCCCTCGGCCAGCCGCCTGACACATACCTGCGTACTCCCTCACAGCGAGGCGGGCCAATCAACCCTACCGTGGGTCCTCATCCCAATTGCATCCTCCTTGCTCCGGTGTTGGCCCAGGTCAACCAGCCGGCACAGTGGTGCCCCCAACGTGACCCAGTCCAGTGCTGGACCGGAGGCAAGTCTCTCAGTCATTGCCACCACAGCTCGTGGTCCCGATTGCACCCTTGCAGGTGCTTCAGCCACTGCCACGGCATCTGCCACATCTCCTTTACCGAGCCGCTCGGGTCCCAAGTCCCGAGGATTCCATGTGAGCTGGTTGCACAGACTTCTACTCGTCTACCTGCAACTCCAGTGTGTGACCGCCGTGGGATCAGAAGCGAGGGTTGCAGCTCCTGTCACTAGAGCTGCTGGAGGTGCTTCCACAACATTGCCTCCTTTGGCTTCGGCGCCGAAGCCCAGTGACCTCCCTAATAGTCATGGTCTGAGTTCGCGCGATTATAGCCGCTGCGTCAAACGTGCTTTCCATCGAGCATGCAACCGTGCACTGCAACTAGGCTCAACCCGCTACCGCGGGCGTACCCTGCGGGCACAGGACGTGCCCTCTCAGTTTCGAGTGCCACAAGTGGGCCTGCCAGCCCGACCCTCCCTCCGACAGGACCGTATTCGCGGACTCCGTGTACTGTCTTGGAACTCGGGTGGACTTGGCTCAGGCCTATACCCGGAGTTGATGACTTATTTATCCCAGTCCTCCATAGATATCGCCATAGTGGTTGAGAGCCGTTGGACTGACCACTTCGAATTCACATCAGGAGATTGGGTATGTATACATGGAGGCTGTCGGTCCAGGAAAGAAGCCGGAGTCTTAATCTTGATTAGACAGTCCCTAGTGCCTCCGTCCCAACTTCGGTATGAACACACCTTGCAGGGACGAATCACGCACATCCGCCTCCCCTTGCCGGGACGAGAGGCCCGACATCTACACATCTTCGGCGTTTACCAAAAAGTGCACAACCCGAAGGCTGCCACCTGCCTTGATCAGCGCCAGCAAGTCTGGCAATCGCTCCACAAAAGCCTAGGACGTGTTCCTGTCAGGGACTCAATCCTACTGGCTGGGGACCTGAACACCCCTGTGGCTACTGATCTGCCCCATGTAGGCCATCATGTGCTGCCTATGCCACAGCATCCACCGGAGGATGCTCAGGACTTGGTTGATCTATATCGCACCTTTGACCTTGTCTCTCTGAACACATGGAGGCACCCGACCTCTGGAGCTGCCTCCACCTTCAAATGGGGACAGGTAGAATCACAGATTGACTTCCTGTGGGTACGAAGACGTGATGCAACGTCGCAGGCCAAGCAGGCCTATGCAATGAGAAGCTTCCATGTGGGAGCCTCTAGGCAAGGTGGAGCCCATCATTTTCCCTTGCTCTGCTGTCTCAACCTGCGTAGGCCGCATTGGACTCGTACCACAGCACGGGCTGTTCACTCTATTGATCGAGAGGCCCTACTGACTGCACTTGATAATCCCACTCAAGCTGAACATGCGAGTCAGATCAACCGCATTCGACAAACTGCCCTACAACACATGCAGGCCCATCCTACGATCGATGGCATCGAGCAGCTGCATGCAGTCCTTTACCAAGCCTGTCTGAAAATATTCCCGAAGACTGCCACCTCAGCTCGTGCCAAACCCTGGCAAACGAACGAAGTGCAGACTGGGATCAGGTCCATGTGGGACAAGTGGAGGGCCTTCAAACGAATCCGAAAGAACGGGTTACGAGGATGGTTCTCAGCTTGGAAGGCTTGGCGCACTTTTACTGCTCACCATAAACAACATCAAGCTGCCTATCGTGCTGCCCGTAAGCAGGTCCTGACAGTTGCCATGGACGAGGCTCGTCAGTGTGCATACAAGCATGACACACGAGGCATCTTCCAAGTTGTGAATCGAATTGCCCCCAAGCAAACCAGACGTCGGCTCCAACTACGAGATGCTCAAGGACACATGCTTGATGCTGCCCAAGAGGTGGACCTCCTGGCTTGTCACTTTAAACAGCGTTTCTGTGAAACAGATGCCACTGCCCTGGCTGCCACCAGAGGTCCCTGGTCCACTTCTGCCGCTCCGGCCCTTGATCCTACTGCACTCTCCCAACAGCTGATGCTGGTTCCGCGTCGCAAAGCAGTGCCGAAAGAACACCCACCGAGTGCAGTTTGGCGATGCTGTGCAGATCTTGTGTCACCGTGGCTGTGTGCATGCCTCACGCAGACATGGGCTTATACAGAGATCACTGTGCCCCCTAGCTGGGCGGATGTAGACCTTGCTCTGGTTCCCAAACCGGGAAAACCGGGCACTAAACCGGAAGACCACCGGCGCATAGGCCTATCCTGCCCCCTAGGTAAGAAAGTCCTAAGCTGCCTGGTTGGACCCTACATACCCCAGATGCTTGCTGCTATCCAACAGTTTCCGCAATACGCCTACCAGCAAGGTCGGGCACAGTACGATGCACTGCGCAGAGCTTTCAAGCATTGTGCCTCTGTCAGGGAAGAACTTGGCCACCATCGCAGGGACCTGCACGCCCGGAAAGCAGGCCACAGGCCCACTCCTCTTTTTGGTGCCTTGATGCTAACCTTAGATCTGTCACAGGCGTTCGACAGAATGCCTCGCCACCATCTTCTCCAAGGAATGCGTGACCTGCAGCTGCCTGATAGTCTTGTTGCTGTGCTCATGCAGTGGCACTCACAAATCCGGTATACCGTGCATCATGCTGGCCAGTCCTGCACCTTCCCAGCAAGCCGTGGCATTCGCCAAGGCTGCTCTGCATCCCCTCTTTTATGGCTGGTATTCTCGCATGTCCTGTGCACTCAGCTTGCGACCCGCATTGGCAAACACAAGGTGGACCAAATTCTCACCGTCTTTGCCGACGACCACTTTGCAGCTGACAGCTTTCATAGTCTTCCGGAGTTTGAGGCCCTTCTTGACTGCATTGTCGCTCTGTTCTGCACCCTTGAAGCCTTTGGCATGGAGGTCAGTGATGCCAAATCTAAAGCCGTCTTGGCCTTAAGAGGCACCTTGAGCAACACCATCACCCGCAGATATGTTCGCAAGGTCCCGGGAGGCAAAGTTCTTCGCATTCAACTTCGCAATCGCGTCCTGGCCATTCCCCTGGTCTCACAGTTTACGTACCTCGGTGCTCAGGTTAGCTATCAGGCTTTTGAGAACCAAACTCTGCAGTATCGGCTAGAGAAAGGAACTGCCACCTACAATCGCCTTGGCTCTGTTCTCAAAGGGCGCCATCATCTGACTGCCGCCCAGAGAATCGATCTGTGGAAATCCTGTGTCTGGAGCAGCATCTCCTATGCACTGCCGGCCTGTGGCCTCACCCCCTCAGGTCACAAAACTTTGGAGACTGCTGTGATCAAGCACCTCCGTGCCATTCTCAGAAGCCCCGTCCATCTCACCTTCACAAGTAATGCCGAGATAGCTCAACAGGCGGGTCTCGAACTGCCGCATCGTATGCTGCAGAAACTCCTCCAGACGGAGGCTCGTAGAAAATCCAATGCATCATCACCAGTCGACCCCTTCATCTGTACCCCTGCTGATTCATGGTGGACGCAGGTTGAAGAGAGTCTTCAGCCACCAGCTGAGTCGACTACGATTCAAGTGCCTTCCCTGACTGTTGCAAAGTGCGCCTGCCCGATATGTGGCATTACATACGCCCTCAGATCTGCACTGCTTACTCATGTAGCCAAGCAACATCCGGAGAGTCTGCTTGAACTTGAGCAACCAACTTTTGATCGGGCCGTTGATGCTATAGGAGGAATGCCCCAGTGTGCAGCGTGTGGAAAACGATTTTCGACTTGGCAGCTTCTTCAAAGACACGTGGAAGGCAATTACTGTGCCGCGAAACATGAGTTGCTGCCTGCCGCCCCGATCGAGCCAATTGTGCCAGCATCCAAGCGACCCGCACTCTTTGCTGAATCACCATGGCCTGACCTAGTTAAGACATATGCATCCCGCGCTATCTACCACTTCAAAGCCAACGAAGTCTACCTTCAGCACTGCTTAGTTTGTGGACAGTGGGTTGCCTCGCATAAAGCCATGAAGCTGCACTACCGTCGTACACATGCTGAGTTATTCCGACTCCACAACGATACTGCCCATAAGTTGTGTCAATCATACCCCCGCTGTAGCTCTCCGTGCCACTTTTGTAAAGCCAAACTTGCCCAGCCTAAAGCACATAATACCCAGTGTACTGTTCTGTGGCAATTCTGCATCAGCTATACAGCTGCACACAGAAATGGCGGACCAACAGATCCAAGAGATCTTCGGGCCAGTGGCCCTGGAGGGAGCGGGCAAGCTGGCCACTCTTCTCATGGAGGACATGTCGGACAACGATCGTCCGTCCAAGCACCCCAAGACGGACAAGCGCCAGAGGGCGCCCTTCTCAGAGCCTTCAGGAGGGGGCTTCGGCCCCCGTTACAGGGGGCAGAATCGACACGGTCGCCAGGACAAGGAGGCAGCTTTGATCAAGGCGATGGGCAGATTGGTGATACGCCAAGAGACCCAATTGCAGGTCCTGAAGCAAAACTCTGCCTGGACCCTCTACTTGAAGCCGGGCCAAGCCGGGGCCATGCCGATTCTGTTCAAAGCTGCAGCCACATATCGCGAAGCCTCGAAGACCAAGTTCATGGAAGCTCCCCTCCGGGCGGTCCTGCTGAGCACCCTGTTTCAGACTCTGCTTACATGCCTGCAGAACCTGGCCGCGCAACCGGATCAGCAAACTCAGGCCAAAACCAAAGGCTGGCTGAACAACGAGGGCAAATGGGTATATCAACGTTGGGACCCCGAGAACCAGACCCTCACGACCGACGCCTCAAGAGCAGCAGTGACACACCAAGAGATCGTCAATCATGTTACCCTGTTGGTGACAGCAGTGACGGAAAAGGACGTGATTCATCGCTTCAATGCGACGAACGGTCTACCGGCCAATCCAGAGCAAATCACGACTTTCCTCTTGGAAGTGGGACTGAGGGCCACGGGAGTCGAGAAGGTCTGGGCAGCCCTCGAGTTCCTATCGAACTCGACGGCCCTACAGCTGTGTGGCATGCAACTCAAACGGGACAATCTCAAGAGGAGCTCGCTTGCCAACGACGTGCAGAAATTGCTGCAGGAATACACAGGCTCTGCTTGATCAACCGTTCCCAGCATTGCTATGCCAACTCATTTGCCTTTGCACTGCTGTGGTGTCATCAGCTCCTGAAGGTGCCTGAGGCACAGCTCTTTGGCACCAAAGTGCAGGCGTGGAGAGATGTCCTCTACCACTCAACTAGTGTATCTCTGTTCAGGCTGCAATCATGGGCCTCATTATGGCGTGGGTGGGAGCGGCCATCGGCACAGCACGACGAATGCATTCTCCCATCATTCTGCACATACAACCGCGGCATCAAACACTGCAGGACTGTCTTGATGGATGGCACAATCAGGTGCAGCCGCATGCTCTCTGTCAAGCCTCATCCCTGTGCTTTGTACAACTGGCCAGGTATGATTTTGATAATGGGGTGGCTGTCAAGAACAGCCAGGCTATTACGATTCCTGACTCAATCTTCGTGCCGATTTGGGGCCGACATCTCACGACCTTCAGAGCCAGATACACTGTAGCTGCCGCTATTATGCATCATGGACCGCATACTGCTGCTGGCCATTACACTGCAGCACTTCTGGACCCAACCACTGAGCTGCACAGGGGACGATGCTGGCTATCGGATGACAACCGTCGTCTTGGGGCCCAGACCTCAATCCCCACATCGGCCATGCATCAAGGATACGTGTTCGCACTGGTCAGGTCCATCTGACCGCCTTGCATCGAGTGGGGCACTTCTTGAAGGGGATGCGATGAACACTCGTTCACACTTTTATTCTGCCGAGCCTGTTACCAGTGCACCGCCAACCGAGTGGAGCCTTTCTTTATAACCAGACCGGCTTGCAGGCACTAGTGCCGAAGCCACTTTCTACCGGGCCCCAAAGGGGTGCGCCAACCATAGGCGCCGACAAACACCATGTCGCCGTCGAGGGACGCTTAGCGAAGTCGGATCTTTGCTGCGAGGGAAGAAGAAGAAGAAGGTGCCCTGAACCCGGTGAAGGGTAGGTTGGTTTGGGGCTTTCGGGCTCTCGGTCCTGCAGGCCCAGGATGTATCGATTCAGACAAAACAGTACTGTAGAAGTTGCCTTGGGTCTTACGGTTTATTGAGGGTTTCAAGACTTACGGCTTCCGAGTTTCGGGCTTGAGGGGAGCTTTAGCTTTGACTTGAGCTTCTCAGACAAAATCGTACAAGACCGAACTGCAGTGGAGCCAAAGGTCTTTGCTGAAGCTCCCGCTGCACAGGTCGCACTCCACCTGCGCCAAACGAAGTGTGGTTTCCTGGCTCCACGTTAAACTCAGTAACTCTTCTTCCAAAACTGAAAAAGGGTTGTAAAGAAATGACTGCACAACAGTGTCAGCTTAATTTGAACAATCAAAATGCTGTCCTTGTTGTGGTAAGCTAAATGCTAAATTGCCCAGCGCAAGTACCGAGATTCCGGACCCGCAAACTGCATCTTTCGCAGGCTGTAAGTCTACAGGGCATTTGTGGTATCGAGGTGGCGGCCATAGATGCCAAAGTAGCCGCGCTTCACTCGCCCGAACCTCGTCACGCTATGCAGCAGACGTGTCCAGAGCACAGAAGCTGCATGCACATGCTGAAAGGCTTTGCACCTTCTTGCTTCGCAGCTAGAACGGGGCCGATAGAAGTCTGAAGCTCACCCACTAGAACCTCAGCCTTACACCGCTGAACTCCAAACCCCAAATCCGAGAATCCCTTCCTCCCGCTCACACTTCTAACCCCGTCAAGCACAGAGATACTTCAACCCCCAGAGAGCTAAGATCAGATAAACCGTTCAACGAACCCACCAAAGACCCAAAACCGCAGACACTCATTGCTAGCTGTGCTCACGGAACAAACCAAGGCTCCAGCTGCATCAGCTGGGAAACGACCTTAAGGCAACAGAAAGGAGCCGACTTTTGGCAGCGCCTTGTGGAGTTTCGGTTGCCCTCGGATAATGCAGGCGAGGTTTATTGGTGCGTAGTCGCATAAGGTGAAACACCTCCAAGACTGTCCTGACTCTTGAACAAACCCCAACAGAAAGGCTAGGAATACAAGGACATCATCGGAAGACACACTTCAGAGCAGCCTCGACGCCGGGTGTAGCGTATGCTTAAGATCCCTTCAAGGGGTCCACACTGAGGGTGGGACGCCTGGGTAACTCGAGGCCTTGAGGTTTGGGGTTCTGGGTTCCAAAGTTGGTACGGATGCTCACCATTTTTAACGCTCAACCATTTCTTTTTTACACTCGGCGGAGTGTGTACAGGCTCGCCGAAGCGGCCAACAGCCATTGTGCAAGCAACCTAACACCCCGCTTCCAAAATCCAAGTGCAGCCGCGCTTCGAAGGAGAGCGTGTTTGATGGCACTGCAAATGCCAAACCTTGGCTCCTGAGGATCACCCAGAGCAATACTGCTTCTGCCCTGATTTAGAGAGTGCATCCACATGGGAATGTGGCGATACGTAGGTCCAACTGCCGTCGAACAGAAGTCAGTGCCACGATGGGATGGGTGAAAGATGCAAGGGGTCAGGGAATCAGACAGTAGGCTGTCAGGAGGTCGCCAGGCACAGCAGAGCCTACACACCCCTCAAAAATCACAGCCCCAAACCCGACCCCGCATGCAGCAGTCCCGGCCACGATGGCTGTGTTCATGCCCACTGCCTGGAAGGCACATTAGCCACTCAATCTGCCTATTCTAAGTTCTTCCTCGCTAAGCATCCAAGGCTTGAAACCCTGTGAAGGACCAGGGCGCGCCCATCCAATGGTTCAACCCAATGCCCATTGACGGGTCTGCAATTACTCAAACTTCATTTGCAAGCGGGGGCCTTGCAGTTTGCGTCCACCAAGGGGCCGCCGGAGTTACCCGGATTGATGGCGGTGTCCGTCCTAAATGGTGTGAAGAGGCGGGGTGTTTGGGGTTTACGAGTCTTGGACTCCGTGCTAAGCCTGACACTGGATGATGTTGTCCTCAGATGCCGGGCGACGTGTGTTCTGTTTTGCATATGTACCATCACCTCATCATGCATGGTGCATTGGCTTAGGCCTTCGATTGGATTCAATGCCCGTACCTGCCGCAAGCCCTGCCCATAGTTCAACCCTAAACTCTGATGTATAAGCCGCTGAACTCTAAGACCTTGCATCCTAACTCTGCAAGCTGAGCTCCGGACAACCAGCCGCCCTGATTGCGATCGCAGCGACCGACCAAGGGCTGAGACGACCCCAGAGCTCACTGAGCTGGCGTAGCCTGACTTAATGGCAGGGTTTAGGGCCTAGGTCTTCAGATTTCGGGTTTAGGCCATAAGGCTTCCGCATCATCAGATGTGAAAGCTTTAAGCTTTGTCTAGGGCTTGAGGCATCTAGGGCTTAGGGGGTAAACCCCTGTACTCTGACCGCCTGGCCTCGCACGTGCCTGGCTCAGAGGCTATGAATTCTACCCAACACGGCTTCAGACTGATTCTGCATCCTCCCCAGGCCATGCACCGGATTTTGCGTGACTCCCGTAAAACATCCGTCTAGGAAGCCCGACCGAGCGGATTGCCGATGGCAACGACCAGCTGTCCCACCCGCAACTTCGTCGAATCGCCCAGCTCGACAGCTGGTAAAGGCCTACCAAGGAGTTCAAAGTGCGAGCCGTGTGCACACATGCCACAGCGGTCATGCGTGGGAGCATTGGCGACATTGAAACATGTAGCATTGCTGTATCCATGCCGGAGGCAAGGCTTTTTTAGCATCATAAAGGCGGGATAGATGGGTACAGTAGAAGCACTGGAACGGGCAAGAGGCCAGTGTCTTGCAGTAGCTTGTGGAAGGACAGCGTTCCGACTTGACGTTTTTCAACAATAGGGAGATGCATGCGCATTCGGGCATCACGACTTGGTCGGAGGCCTGCTGCGAGAAGGGATGCGCAAGATGCCCACGTCAGTTGGCGGGTCGCGCCCCACAAGTTCGGCTTGCAGCACGGTATCCTTAGCCACGCGAGGAGGTTCGAAACATGCATGTTCGATTTATCCACCACCTGAGTGTCTCTAAACAAGGCAAGATCATGTGCCGCTATTCAAGTGCTGGGTGACAGGCATCTGTAAGCGACACCATGATCTCCGAGCCAGATGCGTCTCCCAACCTCATTTTGCAACCCTGGTGGAGGCACCCAAACTTCACTAGTGAGGACTCATCAGCACGCTGTCTGAGCCTTTTTTCGGGTATACTCAGTGGCCACAACAGGCCATGGGCATGATATTGACAACGTCTGGCCCGACAGCAATTCTCTGCTAAGCTGCTTTTTCTCCACTGAGGGAATGGATTGCTGTAGGACTCTGGGAAATGGCAAGCAGGCCTTTCACCGTGGTTCTTTGAGTGGAGCCTACTGAAAACACAAGCCCGACGGAATTAGAGAGTCAGGCTTCGCTAGCTCGCACAAAACTAATAGCTCAAGATCATGTTTAGGCTCGCGACATACTTGCTTGCGGCTTGGGCCTCAGAAAAAGTTCAACATATCAGTTATAGACCTTGACCCAACACAAAATCTTGAGTTGCTCCTGCCTTGGGCCCTGACACGTGGTCGTTGGTAAGTATGTACCCATCGGAGCTGAAGATAAAGCCGCTGCCCTTGCACACGTAGGGATGGTGGTTCAGGATTTTTGCGTTGAACAGGCAGGGAAGCTTCGGGAGTTGAATAAGAAGCGAGTCGAGAGCCCTCTGATTCTGAATACAAGCGACACGCAGAATGTGGCATCCTGATGCCTCACCCAACCCGTTGATCGGGCTTAAAGATATAGCACTGATCCGGAATCCAAGACTGTGCAGGTTGCAGAACCTTGAGAGGCAAGATTGGTGTCTCAAGGTGTTCCACGTTTCTCGCCACTTTCCATCGATAGATTAAGCAAGGTTGGAAAAATTATGCAATATCTTCTCTATTCTAGACCCGGCGGGCCTAAACCCCAGGCCCACTCAGTGTAATCCACAATCAACAATCCTCCCTCCCTTGTGGGATTGCCCAACCCGTTATACAACCCAAACTTTACACTTAGAAAACCCTCATAGCCCCTGCAGAAAGCCCCCCCTGCCTGGCCCCGGCCATCCTTATGCTTCACAGCGACCACCGCCGGCCCGACCGTGTCCACCACATTCGTGACCTAAAGCGCGGTCATGAGAACTTCTCTTGAGGGTGTTTCTGTCCTGATGTATTTTGAACTCTCGTTGGCAGGGCTTTTCCTGTGTAATGTCTAGCCATGAAAATGCTGGCTTCAGGGCTCTAAGCTGACAGCTTCGCACAACACACCTTTGAGGTAGTCGTTGGGGCCGTAGGGGGTTGGCCACGAAACTCAGGCCAACAGTAACGACAGCGGCCAAGAGCAGCAACAACGTCGTCAGTCGACCATCGTTGTCGTCATCATCCTCATCAGCAGCGTCATCGAATCTGTGTCTTGGCGACGTAGGACTTCAGCATCTGATACCACCTGACACGAGGAAAACCACACCACGAGCCCCAGGCCACGCGAGAGTAGGCCTCAGAAGCATCAG